CAATGTTTCGATAGGCGTGCTGCGAGTGACACTGTCCTTTATGGATTGTGTGCACTGTATATACATTAGCCCGGTTGTATATTAATCGCGCGATTGACATTTACCACAGAAAGAACATACAATAATATTGAAGTCAACATGTCACCTTTGTTATAGATATGTGTTCAATTTTCGGTTGTGTACGTTAGTAAATCGCTTCCCGTAATGTACCCTAGGCAAAGTCTATGACGCCTAAAAATCTATCACCACTGGTTGCTGAACTGTTACTCGTAACCTCACAGCAACCCTTTTAAAGGAATACTTAATTTAAGACTTAGCCCCCAGATCCAAATCTTATTACTACATGTGTAATAATTATTTAGAACGATTAGCACAAGAACAAAAAATAAATGTAGTTATACTCCAGGAAAGACATGTGCCAGAGGATTAAAAAATGACACGAAGAGTGAGAATAACTGGCTTTACGATTGTCTCAGCCTTATATTATAGACATTATGATTCTGCAACTTATTTCAGAAATGACACATACAGCTCAAACCATTTATATTCTACAGTTGCTGACTTAATATTCATTATAGGTATATTCATAGCGGACGTAACCCTATTTAATATATATATAAGCCACCAAATGTTATGTAGTAATTCAAAATGTAATAAAAAAAAGAAAAATAATATTATAAGAAAGTGGCTAGAAAAATGTATTGAATTCTGAAAATGCATTAATAAGCGTTAATGTAGTATTAACAAAATTAGTAATTTAGATAAATGGTATGTCAATTCCGGTGCAAGTAATCGCATGATCAGTAGAGTCATTTGAAATTCAATTGACACTATGTATAAGATATGTAAACATAGTATGACTATCAATAAAGGTAAATAATATGTTTCACAAAAATTGCCGAAAAATGAGTTGAAAATAATTTTTTAGATATTTTACTTATACATACGCTGAAAGAATAATAACAAAATAAACGTAGAAAATTGGATCAAAAAGTTAAAAAAAAAAAAAATGGGTATTCAGAAGAAACTAAAGAATACGCATAAGCTTTGATGTATAGGAAGTATTCATTAAGCAGAGGTATTATATTCAAAGAAGTTATAGAAATTAACGATGGAAAAGAAAAGGATGAAATAAATTCAAAAAACAGTAGACGAAAGTGATAAAAATAAAATTGATAGTAAAAATAAGGTTGAAAGAGAACAACATATAGATGAACTAAATGAATTAACAGATGAGGCTGAAGAACAACCAAAAATAAGGCTTAAAAATAGACATAATACAGAAAAATTTAATAAGTCAAAGAACAGATACATTTTATTCAAAATGTGATGATCCAGTTACGTATAAAAAAGCTATAATATGAGAAAATTCAGAAAATTAGAAAGAAAAATTAAATGAAGATATATCATCATTAGAGGTGAATAAAAAGTAGAAATAATGGATTTACCAACAAATAAAAAGGCACTTAACAACGACTGGACATATTAAACCAAACATAAGAAAATAGAGAATTTGATAGATTTATAGACAGACAATTAATAAAAGGCTATGCACAAGTGTGTGGAAATGACTTTCAAGAAACTTCTAGTCCAGTTGTAAAATATGATTCTATACTATTTTTACAGCAATAGCAGTCAGAAAATTGAAACTTAAACAATTTGATATTTAAACACCCTTTTTATAAGGTGATTTTAAAAAAGAAATTTACATGAGTCAATTTTGTAGGAATTAAAATTCATCATAGCTCAGATGAATCAATTTTTACACTTCAGTGGTCATTTTGCCAGCATGTTTTGGAAAGATTCAATATGAGAGAAGTCAACATTCTATGTATTCCTGTAGACCCATAACATTCATTGTATCCAAATTTGTCAGAATCATTATAAGCAAAAGCAGATCTATACAAATAACAGTAGGACTTTTGTCATATCTAAGTCGGATCACAAGGTCTGATATAACATTTGCTATAAATCTTGTTAGTCACATTTTGGAAAAGTCTCCGATAATACCTTGGAATGTGGTGAAACATATTTTAATATATTTAAAACAGAATAGTAGCATGGTGTTCACAAAGATAAATTTAGGTAGTACTTTAACTACTGAGGCTTAATATAGGCTGGTCTAGTGGTATTAGAACACAGGGATACACCTGTTTTAAGTGCGAACAATTAAAGTGCATTCAATATATTATATTTAATTAATTAATTAATTTAATATAGAATTCCATAGACGGACTAAACATAAAGATGTTCCTTACAATTATACTTATGAGAAGATAATAGAAGAAGGGATAATTTCATTAGAGTACATGACCATCAAGGAGCAGGTAGGTGATATTTTGACTTAGCCAACGTCACAATAAGATTTTAAGAACTGAGTAAAATATTAGGAATTATGTATAATTAAATATGAGATATATAAAAAAAAATTAAAATTAATTATGTATGGGTGTATTTTTTATAAGGGGAAGTATTGATTTTATAAAACAATATACTAGGTACAGAAATTTGACTTAAGTACATTAAAGATAAAACATGATTTAGAATATACGTTCATATTTGTTAGCATAGTATAAAGGTTGAAGTTATATTCCTTTTATGTATGTGACAGTTTACATAATACAGTTATCAGTATATTTTTAGTCGTTTATTGTCTATCGTGTTACGCGACCTATAGCCGTTGTACATTTCATTATATTATATACTATTACATTAAAAATAATTGATAAGTCTTTAATTATATTATCTATTCCTTTATTCAATAAAGAAGAAGTCATGGTTTTGTTATTAATTTATAGAATGTTTAATTAGTGATTGTAATCAAAAATTATAAAAAAGATTTTATGTTTTTGATTTATCTAATTTATATTTAATGTTTATAAAAGAGAATAAAAAATAAAAGAATTTCTATTAAAAGACTGAAGTATTAATAAGTTTCTTGCAATTATTTTATTAACATTTATTTGCTACATATATGAAAAAAAAACCCAGCACAGTGGGGTCGTGGCATAGTTGGGGTTCAGTATAGATGATATCTAACAGTGATTAAAATCACTATCATAAAAAACGCTTCGATGCAAATCTGTAGATAGTATTTAATTAAAAAAAAAAATTTGTCAAAAAAGTAGGTCAAGTGAGAGTTGAGAAAATAAATGATAGCTACAAAAAAAAACCACATAGTAAAATAATATTTATAATGAATTTATTCTCACGAGAGGAGACTACAGTAATGGAATCCTTGATATTTATTGAAGTCGAATGTCGAATGAAAGAAGTATATAAATATTATTTCTTATAAAGAAATTGTATTGATCCATACATTTTTCAAAAAGTTATAACATTTTAAAGTTAAAAATATAAAATATAAAATCGAGAATTTTAACACAAAAATAGCATACGGTAGCCATTTTCACCGTGAAGACCAAAGAAAGTCAGAAATTTTTTTTTTTCATAATAAAGTATATTACATTAGCTTTAATTTAAGATATACATAAAAGTGTCAGTATTTCCGGAACACTGTCAAAAGTTAAGTTGAAAAAGTTAATTTTTTGTGAAAAAGTTGACATTTTGAATCACCTCCTGTGGACTGGTAAAGGGTTAAATTTATAAAAAAATATATACCAAATGATAGGTACAGACATCAAGCATCTATAAAAATAATACATTGATTTGTTCATTTTTGAAAAACTTATGGAAGTTTTAAATAAAAAAAATTGAAAAAATTTCGCATCGAAGCTAAAAGTTAATAATGAATTAATATATTCTTTTGTTTTTACCTGAATTTTATTTAAATTTTGTGCATGTCAAATTAGGAAAATCGCAGTTTAAAATAAGTTAATAACTATTTAAACGTATATATCTCTCACATTTATGATCTTATCAAAAATGTTAATGCATAATTCAGCAGATAACGAGATAAAATAAAATTATCTATCATGGAGAATATTCTGCAAAAAGATTATTATGATAATTATATATTATTACCCTACTGTAGAGCGAAAAGTAAGATAATTTTAGCATAAACCTGAAATAATAATTGATAAAAGAATTTAATTTTAAGAAAAAATATAGAATTATTCATTTAGCGTATTAAATAACATGTCGATAACAATTTTTAAATCAGTATTTTAAAAGAATTTAGGACTTTTATATTATAAAGAGAGGAGTAGTGTGGTTTATATACGTACAAAGATAAAAATAAAAAGACCCGTTTTGCTGCTTCTACTATAATACACAAGTAATAATATGTTTTATTATACTGATACAAATGTTGTTATCGACCAATGAATTTCTTTATTAGAATTTGTCAAAATTACTTAATTTTGTTATTTTATAAGTTAATTAAACATTCCATTTAAAAACCTTAGTTGATAATATTTTAAAGAGTAGAGAAGGAGCAAACAACCATTTTATTATTATATATATATATATATATAAATATTAATGAAAAAATTAATTTCTTAAAAGAATAAATTATAATATTTATATTACATTTTTTTAAAACCTTAAAAGGACACTAAAAATTTAAAAAATGTATGGAATTAACATATATAAAATCAGCTTTTTTTTAATTGCAAATTGCATTATAAAATTAAATCAATGTAAAAATTAATAACATATAAAATATTTATATATATTCAAAGCTAAATTAAAAAAAAAAAATGTAAAATATAATACTATATAACTAAAGTTATAAAATAATAATTCAAATTTGAATAGCTATTATAATAAGAAATAGATAGTGTACATTAAAATAATTTTGCCAGTCACAATTATTTGATATAATTATTTCAATATGAATAAAAGAAATTTCTGAATTTCTGAATAGTTATTATATGAAAAATATTTGGAAACATCAAAATAACTTTGCTAGTCACAAATATTTAATCAAATTATTTCAACACAAATAAAAGAAATACTAAAAATCTAATAATAGAAACTTTACTACATAAAATGAACTGACTTTTAAAAAGTATTTTATATTAAATTATAATATTATTTTACTTATAAAACTTCCTTATAATTAAAGAAAATGATTTTTATAACTTTTTTATTAATTTTATTATTTAATTTCAAATCGGTGAATTCTATCAGCAATGTACGTCATTGTAATTTTTCTAGATACATGTTGAACTATTTTAAACTAAATGAGCATTATTTGCTACAAATGTATAAAAATTTTGATATGTATACTGAAGAAGATTTAAAGAAATATGGACGAGCATTTCAAACACATGGCGATGTCGTATTATTCATGATTGAAGATCTACACAAAATTAATGAAAAGTATGTTGCATATGATTTGATGACAGTAAATTTATATTTAAATAATAATTCTGGTTCGATAAATGTAATGTATAAATATCAGGCAGGTAATAATATTGATTATAACAAAGTATTTCTTGGTATACAAGGATTAAAATTACTAAATTATTCTATGATGTCAATATTAAAACGTTTCATAGATACTTTTTGTGATAAAATACCAATATCAGATTTTATCGAATATCCTAATGAATACATAACTCAACAATTAAATATTGACGTATTAGTCGATAATACAAAATATTTAAGAGAAAAAATAATTAAAGAAATAGATCCTGACATAATTGAAAAAAGCAATATGACAATATTTCATCCAAAAAATCAATTATTCTATAATATTATGTTAAACCAGTCTGATAAAATTTTAGCAATAGGTACTGAATTAAGACAACATCAAGAATTTGTTAATGGTAAACCAAAATACATTTTAGACCTTCTTCGATTTGCTCCTCTTACATTACAGTGTGCAGACAAAACAGACTTGACTGTAATTGATGTATTTCGTTTTGTGAAGTATCATTATTTATATGATGATGTAAGAACATTCCAAAAACTTTTTCTCGCTGCCACTTTTCATCCAGTTGGAATGCTTATTGCCTACTATCTACAATTTGTTTGTAAAATGATACAAATTGGTCTAAGCCCTAAGAATTATATAAAGAATAATAAATTATGTATATATGATTTGGGTGAAAAAATAAAAATGATTTTACAACAGTTTATTAACTTAAAGATTTTTTTTGGTAGTGCAAATTATTATCTCTTATCTATTATTAATAATTTATATGTAATATTATCTTGGGTTCGTGGCATGTCACTTAAAATACCAGATTTACCAAATATATTGTTGAACAAATTAGAATTATTCATGAATAATAATTTATTAAAGTTTAATATAGAATTAGTACCAAACGTTATGGAAGAAAATGTAATGCACATACATAACAAAATAGTTAAAAAAGTAAAGCAAGTTGATACATATCTCCAAGAACTCAGAAAATATACAAATTCATTTGAAATGATTAATGTAATACAATTTTTAGAGAGAATTGTGGTTAGTGACGACAAATTTTTCTTGCAACCAAATTTAATTGGTAAGCATAATTTAATTCTTCTCTATAAAGTACGATCAATTACCTATAAGGTAAATCACGAAAATATGAGAAATCCAACAATTTTTCTAAAAATAACTTATCGAAATTTGAAATTTGTATTTTTCTTAAGATTCAACTTAAGTTTTACTATTTTTAATAAATTGTTATTATTTACAGATCATTTATGCATAGATAATCCGATAGATTATTGTAAGAGTACTAACACTAAATGCGATATTAAGGATGAAAATAATGAATTAAATGTTTACGACGTCGGAAATAATGATGGTTTGGATGAATTTAAAATTACAAATATTGAAAATTTCAATAACGCTTTTTTTAATAGCAAAAAAGAGAAAAGTCTGAATCCATTAATTGACATGAAGGATTCGCCAAAACACATGGTGGATTATTTCATTAGTTCTGAATAAAAAATTATATTTTTGTAATAGGGCTACTATAATACCTTGCTTTTTTTTAAACATTTATATCAAATTTATAATTTCATCACATAATATTTTATTTTATTTTAATATGTATACATTTTTTTTTTCATTTTACTTTTAGTTACAATTTTTAAAAATGTTAAAAAATCATCTTCTTCTTGTCGTGTCCGATTATAAATAATTTTAATAACAATTACATTAATAATTCAAAGTAAAATAAAATCAAATGCAGGTAAATACTTAGATAACAAAATAAATAAATATATATCAAATATGTAATAAACCAAAAATAAAAAGAAAGAATTAAAAATAATTTAAGTGTTATCGATGGTATGGGTAAATATAAATAAATAGATGGTTCTTAGTTATATTAATTATGTGGTTTTTATTATTAAATTATAATAAAAATTAAAATTAAATGTCTGGTCTATAATATTTATTATATGATTTACACATTAATTGTTTCTCTTATTAATTATTAATTTTTCCATTTCATTTTTATTAATGATTTATTACGCAATAGATTGTTGGGGATTCGAAAGCATAGATTAAATTGTACTTACCTTACGTCTTGTGTAATGCAATAATATTCAAATAATCCAATGTTGATTTTGGTTTTAAACGTACTACATATACGATTTACACTATACATCATATAGTCTATATAATTACTTACAAAAACTATTCAAAATTTTAAATAATAAGATTTAATTACACAAATTCAACGACTGATCTTACTTGTAAAAGATTCTAAGCACTCTATATTTTATTATAAATATAATTTTTATTTTATTTTTTACGTCTGTTGAATAAGTAGTTTTTAGAGTATATTTTATTGAGATATTGACACCAATATTTCTTAAATTTTCCTCTGGCCTGGCCAAAAAAAAATTCAGAAATATTTATATCTGTGTAAAAAATTTATCAAGACGAAATTGTGGTGGCCCAATGTGTCCCGGCACTAGAAAGCGCCTTGAAAGGATGCGGCACAATAATCACAAAGACAAAAATTAAACACTAAAAATATATTTGTAAGTTTCTTTGCGCTGTCCGCCGGCGCGATGCTCGTTAAAGCAAAGACATTAAGCTCAAAGACTAGCTACCCAATAAGTATAGAGTTGCAATACACTTAGTCCAATATATTTATTAATAAATTAATTTAATTCTCAGCATTGACTGAAAAAATTGTGACCTATAGCTCTGTCCGCCGGCGCGATGTTCGTTAGAACAAAGACATTAAGCTCAAAGACTAGCTACCCAATAAGAAAAGATCACAATGTATTTTTATTATTAAATAAAATTTAAAGTTGGGTTGGATTTATTATTAAAATAAAATAATTTTAAAAAAAGGTTTAATGTTTAAAATATTATTTGACATTTATTTCCACAATAATAAAAATAAAACATTATTATTTAATGAACAAATTAAATTAAATTAAAAGATTCACCAAAACAAAATTCATCTTAAAATTTCTAAGTGTCTTTTAGTTTTAAAGAAAAATATTCTAAGTCCAAATTAATTTAAAAATTGACTAAGTCCCGGAGAGTGAAATCTTGAGTAGAGTGTCGTAGTATTTGTATATTTAAATATCGCCGAAAGAACTGGTTTAGACGGGGGAAAATGGTTTTTTATAGTTTGAAGGGGGTAGCCCAGCGATCTCTACCGTGATCCTGGAAGCTGAGACTTTGTATTTAATTGGTTAATTAAAAGAGGGTCCTGCGTGTAGGCGTTACTTAATAATTCCTACAAGAGGGAGATTTTTGCATTATTAAAGGGTTATTTTGTATTTTAAATAAGAGAACCCTGTTTTGGTGATTATGTATAATCATAATATATAACATACATGTACAGATGATAACATCGTATTATATGTAATAATATAATATTACAAATAAAAATAATAATAATAAATAAATCAATTTGGTACGTCTAATAATATCACATTTTTGGAGTATTCTATACTTATACTGCGACCAGTAAGTAGCTACCTCTAGAGCATTTGTATTTGTCAAAATCAGATTTCCTTTGGTACATAGTGCTAGATAGTGCTGGAAGATGTCCACCCAACAGAAGTTGTTGTGTGGTCTGAATCAGTTCTTTCGGTTGTAGCTCATCTTGCCATCTTTGCAGTCTAACTTTTTGTGAGGGTTCGTGCAGTTCTTTTGTTGTTTGTATGAAACTTTTTCGAGATTAAGGTCTTGTGCTCGTGATTTCATGTCCGAACATAGGATGTATTTTATCATTTATCTCTTTGGTTTTCTCTATATCGGTGGTTACTTGTCTTTTAATTTTAGGTGGACCTATGCCTGATAGAAGGTATAACTTTTATGTAGGCGTTGGTGTAAGGCATCCCGTTATAGTTCTAAGCTACGGATACATGTTTGGCGTGTCTGGTTTGGCTCCACATTGGACACGCATATGCTTCAGGTGAGAAACATAGGGCTATACCGGTTGTACGCATAGTGTGAGGTCGAACTCTCCATTAGATTCCAGCGAGTTTTTTAAGTAGGTTGTTCCTTGCTTGCACTTTCATTTTAGTTTTGATACAATGTAGCTTAAATGTCAAGATCCTATCTAGGGTGACGCCTAGGTACACGGGGTAATCAGTGTTTTGCAATATATTTCCTAACCATTCTATATTAAGGCTTTTTTTGGCGTCATGGTTTCGTAGGTGGAAGCAACATACCAGTATTTTTTTGCAGTTTGGTTTTAGCTGATTACTGTCATAATAATTGTTCATGACCTTAAGTGCATTTGTTAATTTTTTTCTACATTATCGAAAGTTCTATCTAGGGCCGTGATTGCTAGATCGTCTGCATATAAAAAATGTTTAACGTCTCTCGGAGTTGGCTGGTCATTTGTGTATAAGTTAAATAACATTAGTGCTAACACGCTACCTTGTGGTAAGCCATTTTTAGGGTTCTTTATTTACTCCATTTATCGTTCAGATTTGCCGTAAATGGACGATTTTGTAGTAATGAAGCAACTGTTTGAACGAATTTCCAATCCCTGGTGTAGTAATAGACTTTTTATAGCAGTTTATTATGGTTAACCGTATCATACGCAGCTGTAAGGTCGACAAATACTGCTCCCGTTATCTTATTGTTTTCGAAGCCGTCCTCTTTATCTTGACTATGTTGAGTACCTGGCCCATACATCCTTGCCTGGTCTAAAGCCAGCTTGCTCCGGTATCAACTGTATATCTTAATGAGTTTTTATACGGTTCATAACCATTCTCTCTTATAGTTTGTAGGTGTGGCATAACAGTGATATGGGTCGATAACTTTTTAGATCACTTAGGTCTTTTCCTGGTTTGGGAAGGGCTATTACTTATACTTTCTCCAGCTTTTGAGTACACATTTCCTATGAAGACATATATTTAATAGTAGATATAACCATTGTCTCGCTCCTTACCCAAAGTATTTAATTTGTTCTACTGCAATTTCGTCGTACCTAGCCGCTTTCTCATTCTTCATTTCTTTCAGACTGGCGATGAGTTCATTTATTTGAAAGTCAAGGTGGAAGATATGATATTCATTGTTTTTGTCTTTTATGATTTTTTCTTTCTTGATTTTCCATTTTTAAGTAATTTTGAGGCTATCTGATTAGCATTGATATTTATACAAGTTCTATGTACCGTTGGATCTCCACTGAGCTTTTTCATTAGGTGCCAGGCTTTCTTGCTTTTTTTAATCATATCAGTATTTTTAATAAGATCGTGCCACTTTCTGTTTTTGTCATCTCCAAGCTGTTTAATAAGAATTTCTCCTGCTGCAATAGTGTCGTCACTAAATAGATCGTTTTTAAACAAGTCTTGATATATTTCTATCAGCTTTCCAGTTTTTTTACCTAGGTCTGGAATGTTTTCTTTGCAGCCACGTGGTATGTGTTGTTTAGATATTTTCCTTACTTCATTTGCAAATATTTCGAAGTTTTCTGGTGTTGGTTCTAGGTTCTGAATTTATTTATCAATAGCCTCTCTGAATTTTTCCCAATTAGCTTTCTTATAATTAAATCTACTCTTGAATGGTATCCTTTCAGATCTAATAAATTCGTTTATTTGTAGTTTTAATGCTCTGTGTTGTGTTTTTGGTATAGGAATACATACATCCTTAAGACATTGCTGGCTTACGTTACTACGTACATAGATTATGTTCGTTTTGTATCCTCTTTTCCCAACGCCCACTATTAACTGAATTTGGAAGCTTGGGGTCGTGAGTTAAATCGAGTAGCTCAGTTTCAGTCTATTATTGAACCTTTTCAACGATTTAATCAGTTTCTGAGTATCCTCAGGTAGGACTGTGCTTATTGAAATTTCCAACTACTATTTGTGAGGCTAGTTTCAAAATTAGATGATTTTTCAAAGGTAAAATCAGCGTTCGGTGTCTTGTATATCGATGTAATTGTTCATTTTTTAGTTTCAATGTTAAGGATATCAATGTTATTTGTGTGGCTAAATGAAGCGCTGTCTATGACTAGGTCCGGCTTAGAAAATATTGCACTTCCATAGAGTGCGTTAAGTCCTTCAATAATTAAGTTCATTCCCGGATTCT